TTATTTCCATTTTTTCATTTTCTCCTATTTTTTTCTGTCCCTTATTACCTTTCCCCTACCCTTACAACTTTCCCTACACCTTTAGTCCATTTCTTCCTATTTCAAATTGTCAATAATCTCTTTAGGATCTTATGTACTGTTATAGTTTGTTCACATCAGAGAAACTATTCGGTACTCCTAAGTGAAACAAATAAGTCCCAGAAGTGCAGAATCAAATTTTTACAATACACCTCTATATTCTGTTTCCCAAAAAATGAGACCTAACTGTAAAATGATCATTCTTGAAAACTAGTGAACAAAAACAAAAGCCTCAACCAGACTGCATTATCAGCATTAAGGAGCAGCCACTGAGAAAGAATAGTGAGTTTTACTCTTCCTGGACATCACCATGGAAATGACCTGTGCTCATTTTCTGGTTAATTGTTATCTTCTGGGAGACACTGTCCAGTTCTACCCTGGAAGAGACATCCAAAGGAATTATGATGAAAAGGAGAAAATTAATAATGTAACAAGTTTTACTGATAATGTAACAAGTTTAAGTAAATAATAATAATATAACAAATACTTTTGCTAACTTTCATTTATTAAGACTATTACCTTGAACTGAGTCAGTTTTGCATACTGCAATAGGTCAGTAGAAGCTACCTTTTTAGAAAGAATAGATGAAGGTGACAGATCTGTGCTATAGCATCAGTATAAATGCTCACTCAGACAATAAATGTTGTTTAAATATGTTAAATATGTTTATTTATTATAGTAGAGGCAGTAAAGAACTATGGATATTATCAAAGAATGTACATAAAAAGTCTTCAAATTTTTTGGAAATATGATCACAAACAAAAATGTGGAATACATCCACAAATTCAAATGGGAAAATTGAAACATTAAAAAAATAAATTTCAGTGACATTACAGGAAGTGTAAAGGATTATATTAATTTACAAAATGAAATGGGCTGCAACTTGGTTGCAGGAACCACTGTCATTGGCTCAGTAGCGGGTGAAGGAGGTCCATCCAGAGGTAACACTGTGAATGGTGCCTGCCTGTCTTTCAGGTTCTGTTCATTGAATGTTGCTATTTCTTCCTGCTCTGAAGGTCAAGCCAGTGACACGAAAGGAGAAAACCACACAGGTACATCACAATTTCTTCTGCTGGGCCTCACAGATGATCCTGAACTATGGCCCGTTCTCTTTGGTCTGTTCCTTTCTATGTACCTGGTCACAGTGTTCGGGAACCTGCTCATCATCCTGTCCATCAGCTCTGACTCCCACCTCCATACCCTGATGTATTTCTTCCTCTCCAACCTGTCGTTTGTGGACATCTGTTTCACCTCCACAACAATCCCAAAGATGCTGGTGAACATTCAGACATACAATAAAGGTATTACATACACAGAATGCCTCATTCAGGTGTACTTTTTTAATGATTTTTGTGGGGATGGATAATTTCCTACTAACAGTAATGGCTTATGACCGATTTGTGGCCATCTGCCATCCCCTGAACTATATTATCATCATGACCCCGTGGTTATGTATCCGACTAGTTCTGTTGTCATGGATAATCATTTTCTGCTTTGCCCTACTTCATATTCTCCTGCTGATGCAACTGACCTTTTCTATTGGAACTGAAATCCCACATTTCTACTGTGAACTGGCTATGATTATTAAGGTGGCCACTTTAGATATCTTTGTCCATGTTAATATCATCATGATGTATGTTTCATTTATCCTGTCAGTTGTGTGTCCCATTACTGGGATCCTCTTATCTTATTCTCAGATTGTATCCTCATTAGTGAGATTGTCCTCCACTGCAAGCAAGTATAAAGCATTTTCCACCTGTGGGTCTCACCTCTCTGTGGTCTTCTTGTTCTATGGAACAGGACTTGGTGTTTACCTCAGTTCAGCTGTTACTCATTCCACCAGTGAAAGCTCTGTTGCTTCTGTGATGTACACTGTGGTGACCCCCATGCTGAACCCCTTCATCTACAGCCTAAGGAATAAGGATGTGAAGGATGCCCTTGGGAGACTCCTCAACAGAGTGTCTTCTGGTCCTTGATCATCCACTCACTTCCCAACCAAGCTGTCATTGTGTGAATTTAGGAATGCTGAGAATTTTTACATATTACATGTTATTTTTTTCTGGAGTATATTCCATGTTTCATTTCTTGTATTTCTGAAGCACTAATAGCTCTGTTATTGAGTAGTTTTGCATTTGTTTGCCTTAAATATATTCCTTAGTACTTATTTTTTTCTTTATACATGATCTATGAAGTTTCACAATTGGTAGCTAATGGTCACTTGATGTAAGTGCTTGTCTTGTATTCTCAAAAGTATTGTATGGATACCAAAATTCTTAAATTTAATTTGGGTTTATTCATGTAGGACATAGAATGAAA